CTTGAATTGGAGGCAGAAAGCATGGTTTGTTTGGGATATAGTCATGGCTTTTTTTAAAAAAATATATATTTTATTAATTTTTTTACAGAGAGGAAGGGAGAGGGATAGAGAGTTAGAAACATCAATGAGAGAGAAACATCGATCAGCTGCCTCCTGCACACCCCCTACTGGGGATGTGCCCGCAACCAAGGTACATGCCCTTGACCAGAATTGAACCTAGGACCCTTCAATCCGCAGGCCAATGCTCTATCCACTGAGCGAAACTGGTTAGGGCGTCATGGCTTTTCTTTACTTGGAATGCTAACCTTTGTTTGCTAGGCATAAGATTGTTGGGTGAATGACCAAAGTGGTATTGTTCTTTCAAACTTTATTAATTTTTTATTCTTGAGGTTTTAAAGAAGTGCTGCCACTGTTTAGTTATAAGAAGAAATTGATTGAATTTTAATTTTTAAGGTACTTTGCATTACTGTATTATGAAATTCAGAAATTTTTAATTATGAAATAATTTTATATTTAAGAAAAGCTGCAAAAATAATAGTGTTTCCATATATCCTTCATCTATGCCTTCATACCACAGAATCATAATACAATTTTTGAAGTAGGAAACTAGTCTACAGCCCTCATTTGGACTTTGCCTCTTTTCCACTAATGTCCTCTTGTTTTTAGTCCTAGATCCACTCAGGGACCTCACATTGCATGCAGTTCATATTTCTCCTCAGTCTCCTCCAGTTCACACAAGTTCATGAGTCTTTTTCTTTCTTTTTTTTTTTTTACTTTCATAACCTTGATAGTTTTAAAGGATATAAGTTATTTTATAGAATGTCTACAAATTTGGATTGGTCTGATGCTTCCTCATAATTAGATCAAAGTTATATATTTTTGGCAGGAATATTACAGATGTCCCCTTACACTTCTCAGTACATTTTATCAGAGGTTATATGATGCTAAGTCTTATTACTACTGATGCTAACTTTGGAAAGTGGTGCCTGTCATATTTCTCCACTGCAAAGAGACGATTTTTCACCTTTTATAGAGAGTTAGGGAGGGGGAGAAAGAGATGGAAACATCAGTGATGAGAGAGAACCATTTATTAGCTGCCTCCTGCACGCCCCACACTGGGGATCGAGCAGCATATGCCCTGACCGGAAATCAAACCGTGACCTTCTGGTTCATAGGTTGATGCTCAACCACTGAGCCACGCTGGCTGGACCTATTTTTTATTTTGAATTAAAATATTTTATAGAGAGATACTTTGAGCTATGCAAACATACTATTTCTCATTATATTCTCACCCATTAATTTTGGCATCCATTGGTAGATTTACCTGCAAAAGCTATTACTGTGGAGGTTGTCTAATGATGATTTTTATTTTCATCATTCCTTCTATATTTATTAATTGGAATGCTACAATAAGGAAAAGCTGTCCATACTCCACCATTTATTTATTTGTTCAATTATTTATTTGTATCATTGTGGACTCACAGGTATGTACTTAGTTTATTTCTGGGTTATAATCTGTTTAGTTGTTTACAAGTTGTCCAGCTTTGGCCATTGGGAGCTTCTTCAGGTTGGCACCCGATTCCCTTTGATGTGCCTCCATCATTTTTGAGTGCATCACAAGATAGTCCAAGCTCATTATATATTCTATCTGCCCCGAGCCCTCGAATTATTTTTCTAAGGAGCCCTAGTTTATTTATTGGAGAATGGTATTAGAAACCAAGATCTGGGTACTTGTGTTCATTGTTACTGGGTGTCATTGATTCTAGGACCTGTCAGTGGATGGAACTAAGAAATATATGTTTGTTTACCACACACGCATTAACATCCATTTATACTCATCTGTCGGTCTACCTACCTACCTACCTGTAAAAACCATGAGTTCATATTAATGCCTCCAGTTCTAATCTAAAGCACAGAGTGCATTTTCTTATTTGTATCTTCTGTTTAGACAGTAAGAATTTGGCTCCCATTAACTTCATTATCCCAAATATTTTTCTTTCTCATTCGTTCCTGGTGTGTGTGTGTGTGTGTGTGTGTGTGTGTGTGTGTTAGCGGTGGTGGTTGTAATAGTAGTGTGAGAATTTATAAACTATACACTTGTGAGAAACAAATTTACTAACCAGAATACAGTATTTCTTGGGCAGTTCTTTTTGTCATTAGTCTCACATTAAACAGAGAAAAAGTTTTTCAAAGTCACTTAGTTTTTATCTTCCCTACTACCTTCAGTTGGTTGCATTTTTCATGGGTAGCACATTTAGGTTTATTTGTGTTCTATTTTAGATTATCCTGCCCTGTGGTTGATTTCAATTATTTATTTGCGTTTTAGTATTTGGATTATTATTATGGTTCTAGGAGTCGCTTACAGAAGTATCACTGCACTAGTATCTCCATTATCAATCACATTCTCTCTCTGCCTCTCTCTTTCAACCCTATTTCTACTAACTCCCTGTAGGCAACAAATTTCTTTTATATCTTTCCTACATTTCTTTTTTTTTAAATTAAATCTTTATTGTTCAGATTTTTTTGTACGATTTTTGTCCAGTCTCTTCCCGCACCCCCTACACCCCTTTGCCCCCGAGAATTGTCAGTCCACTCCCTTTCTATGCCCCTGATTCTATTATATTCGCCAGTTTATTCTGTTCATCAAATTTTTTATTCACTTGATTTTTAGATTCACTTGTTGATAAATGTGTATTTGTTGTTTATAATTTTTATCTTTACCTTTTTCTTCTTCTTCCTCTTCTTAAAGACTACCTTTTAGCATTTCATATAATACTGGTTTGGTGGTGATGAACTCCTTTAGCTTTTTCTTATCTGTGAAGCTCTTTATCTGACCTTCAATTCTGAATGATAGCTTTGCTGGGTAGAGTAATCTTGGTTGTAGGTTCTTGCTATTCGTCACTTTGAATATTTCTTGCCACTCCCTTCTGGCCTGCATAGTTTCTGTTGAGAAATCAGCTGACAGTTGTATGGGTACTCCCTTGTAGGTAACTAACTGTTTTTCTCTTGCTGCTTTTAAGATTCTCTCTTTGTCTTTTGCTCTTGGCATTTTAATTATGATGTGTCTTGGTGTGGTCCTCCTTGGATTCCTTTTGTTTGGGGTTCTCTGCACTTCCTGGACTTGTAACTCTATTTCTTTCAGCAGGTAGTGGAAGTTTTCTGTCATTATTTCTTCAAATATGTTTTCAATATCTTTCTCTCTTCTTCTGGCACCCCCATAATTCGGATGTTGGTCCGCTTGAAGTTGTCCCAGAGGCTCCTTACACTATCTTCATATTTTTGGATTCTTTTTTCTTTTTGCTTTTCCAGTTGGGTGTTTTTTGCTTCTTCGTATTTCAAATCTTTGACTTGATTCTTGCGATCCTCTAATATGCTGTTGGATCTCTGTATAATATTCGTTATTTCAGTCAGTGTATGCTTAATTTATATTTGGTCCTTTTTCATATCCTCGAGGGTCTCACTAGATTTATCGATGGTCCCACTAAATTTATTGGCAGTTTCTAGAAAATTCTTGAAAAACCTTATAACCGTGGTTTTGAACTCTATATCCAGTAGTTTGTTTTGCTCCATTTCTGTCATTTGTGACCTGTTTCTTTGTCTCCGCATTTTGACTGCTCCCCTGTGTTGATAGAGTGGCTTTCTGTGCTAGGTGTCCTATAGGGCCAGTAGCTCAGCCTCTCCAATTACCTGAGGTGGACACTCTTGGTGCACCCTTTTGTGGTCTTTGTGCTCAGTCTTGTTGTAGTTAATCCTTCATTGTTGGTATCACTGTGAGGAATTGACCTCCAGGTCAATTGGTTGTGAGAATCAGCTGTGTCTACAGTGAGAGAACTTCTGTGCTGGAGACACCCTTATGGGGCAAGACTTGCTTCAGTGGGGCTTTGGTGCTCTCTGAATCTGCCCCCTGATTGTGTCCCTTATGGATCTGAGGAGTTGTAATCTGGATGGTCCCACTCTGACCACTGGGTACACTGGCTCTTGGATCTCTAAGGAGGTGCTAATTTAGCCTCTGCCTGAGGCTACCCAGCAGGAGCTGTGGAGAGATCTGCAGATTCCACTTCTTTGTTTGGGATTTGGAGGTGCCCAGATGAGGCCCAGCTGTGAAGCAATGCAAGCTGCTGTGGGGCCTTGGGCCTTCTTTTGGATGTTCTGGGTCTCTCTGACCCAGCTGCAGTTTGTTAGGTAATTTTAGATCTCAAAGGGCCAGTCCATTCATATGCAAAAGCCTCTGCGCACAGCTTGGGTGGGGTTGGGTCTCAGGGAATCAACAGGATGGAGCAAACAGCTATGGCTGATCCTCAGCCCTACCCTAAGAGGCCCGGGATCTCAGTGTCCTGAGGTAATCGCTGCAAGCACCTCTGAGAGAAAGCCGCCCTCCAGTTCCGCCCGATGCCAGACAGTCCAGTTTCTCCCCGTATGCGTCTGGGTCCCCAGAGATTCGCCCGGAACTGGAGTTCAGAGCAGTCGGGAGCTTGTGTCTCCCTCTTGATTGAAAAAGACAACCGCCTTCTCAGTTGCCAGCCCTTTCCTTGTGCCCCTCTTTACCTCTGCACTTTACTTCCGCACCTTCTCTGAGCCTCAGTGTGCTTTTCTCTTTCCTTCTAGTTGTAGAATTTCCACTCAGCCAGCCTTCCTGTGGTTCTGGATGATGTCCGTTTTGTCTTTTAATTGTATTTTTGAAGTGGTTGTACAAGGCAGCAATTTCAGGTGTTTACCTATGTCGCCATCTTGGTTTCTCCCTCTCAATCTCTTTCCTATATTTCTATCCCCCTTAGCATTCTGTGATATTAAAACATTTTTATTGTTTTTTCCCATAGAATTTTGGATATGAAATGTAGAAAGGAAAAAAGTAAAGCATCAAAACTCAGAGAAAGACAACTTCTTGAAGTTTTGCTTCCTAAAACATAACATTGCTGGTTGCATAAATATCAGTACTGTTTCTCTGTCAGAGTAATTGAAATGCCTTTGTGTATAATATCCCCTTTACCTTTTGTTTCTAGCTGGTAGCAGTGTTTGACGAACAGGATCCACATCATGGAGGTGATGGCACCAGTGCTAGCTCCACAGGCACACAGAGTCCAGAGATATTTGGCAGTGAGCTTGGCACCAATAATGTTTCAGCCTTTCAGCCTTATCAAGCAACAAGTGAAATTGAGGTCACACCTTCAGTCCTTCGTGCAAGTAAGCGAAAGTTCATTCTTTAATGCACATTTTATCTTAATTTACAGGGATGCCAACTTTTATTATTCAGCCATGACCCTGTGAATGGGATTTTATTATCTGTTTTTATAAAAATTGATTAAGTTTAGAATCAGGACAAATATATTTTGCAAAAGAGATAGGCAAGGTTCTTTACATTTTATAGATTGGGCTTACTTTACTTGGTACCGGTAGACTTTTAATTGCTCACTAAAAGTCTATATATAAAAGCCTAATATGCTAAGTGTCTGACCCTTTAGTCGACCGCTCGACCAGTCACTATGATGCACACTGACCACGAAGGGGCAGATGCTCCAACAGTAGGTCAGCTTCCTGCTGGGGTCCGGCCGATTGGGACTGTGTGAGAGGGGCCGGACACGCCCTGGAGCCAACCTCCCACGGTCCCTCCCAGGCCTCTAAAATACTTCTTCTTATTAATTTCTGTCAGTGTGCATGCATTCATACATCGGGCCTCTAGTATTAGGATAAGAGTTAATTTCCTGAATTTTTCTTTCCATATATTTCAAACAGAAATAATTAAAGGGCTTTACATTGAAATAAAATATAGCATGTTTGATTGCCATTCAACTTGGTTATAACCATTACTTGAACTTTATCTGTTGAACAGGAGGAGAGACCTCAAGGCCATAATTATCTTCAGGGATCTGGAAGAGATGCTATTAGAATGCCATCTCAAGGAAAGAAAATATAGGATAGAGAGAGTTTATATTAGGAATCCTAGGACCCAGAGTACTGTAGTTCCAGTATACTTGCTTGAAAAATTCTGTCAGCCATTCCTAGAAGGTTACTCAGAAAAGTGAGTTACCTTGCTGGAAATCATGTTTAGTTTCTGTAATTGTATAACGTTATAAGTGAGCAGTTGTCAAGAGTGAGAAGGTTTATTTAAAGCAATTTAAAAATTAAAAATCATTTATCTTTTAAGCACATCTATTTAGAAACATTTAAAATTTTTGAAGTAGAAAATTGTCTTGTGCTGTTTACTGATAGTCTTAAGTAGATCTTCACAAATAGATAGCAAATAATATAATATCTATAACATGAAAAAAATAATGTATAGAATAAAGTAGATAATATTTAGAATGTATAGTTTCTTCTTTTGAAATACATCCTGGGACCTGGCCATGTAGCTCAGTTGATTAGATCCTTATTCTGATGCACCAAGTATGTGGGTTCCATTTTGGGTCAAGGCACATACAAGAATCAACCAGTGAATGTATAATTAAGTGGAACAACAAATTGAGGTTCTACTCTGCCTCCTTCCATCTCTCTCTCTCTCTCTCTCTCTCTCTCTCTCTCTCTCTCTCTCTTTCTCATCAATAATAAAAAATGCATCCTTCTACTTTTTGTGTTCATAGCAATCTATAGTATTTTGCCAATTTACATCTAGATATTCATAAACTGCTTCTGCTTCTACTACCCCTTGAAAGTATATGTGAGGAGAACAAGAAAAGAAAATCAATTTAGCAGTTAAATCTGATGATGCATCAGAAACCAAAGGAATAGTGTGTCATATAGAGATATAGAGAATTGAGAAGGTACACTTGCATGATGGGATATGTAAGTGATGCCCTAGTGATCATATATGGATGTAGGCCATTGTTAATCACTTTTTAAAATTGCTTTCCATCATCAGAACAAGAAACAATTATAAGTTAGAGCTAGGTTCAATGAAAAATGTTTCCAAGGAAGCTCAGAGTGGGAACAGACATGATAGGTATTTTTATTGAACATTTCCTTATGTCCAGGAGATTTAGGTGCACAAACAAATATATTTTGAAGTATTTTGTGAAAATAACATTTAATTATTATTACTTGAATAATGTTATTTAAAAATTTTATGTTGGATTTACTTGGGGCAAAATTTTTTAAAAGGTGAGGCTTATACTATGTATGGTATACAAGATAATATGTAAATAGTATACAGGTTACTTTATTTTCTTTCCTGTTTTTAAAAACATGTTTTTATTGATTTTGGAGAGGAAGAGAGGGAGAGAGATAGAAACATCGACAAGAGAGAAATATCAACATCTATTGACTGCCTCCTGCACTCCCCCTGCTAGGGATTGAGCCTGCATCGTGGGCATGTGCCCTGACCAGGAATTGAACCAGAACCTTTTGATGCATGGGGTGACACTTAACCACGTAGCCATACCATTTGGGCGTTCTGTTATTACTAGAGGCCCGATGCACGAAATTTGTGCAAGAGTAGGCCTTCCTTCCCCCCGGCTATCGGCATTGGCTTCCCTTTGGCACCCGGGACCCGGGCTTCCCTTGCAGCCCCAACTTCGTCGGGAAGGACGTCTGGTCTAATTAGCATATTACACTTTTATTATTATAGATATACCAGTTCATTAAGTCTTTGCTTTAATCCTTATCTGCTTAGAATAAGCATGTATATAAAGTAGATTGCGTTTAAGTTAAATAAAAATTTAATTATACATATTGTACCTGATGTTTAGAATATAGTGGTTGTATGTGAGTAATTACATTCTAATGTATATTATTAAATACAGAGTTTTTTTTGTTAGTGTTATAGGTTTTTACTCATGTATTTTATAAAACAAGATGCACCTTTAATTTAGCTATACCTTATAGTGTTGTAGGAATGGTAAATCCTACCTTTATGTTAAGAAGAATTTGAATGGCATGCTTCCCATCAATTTTAATTTTTTGACTTCTCTGGACTGAACAGAAATTCTAAAACACTACCACCCACATTTGACTTCCCTATGTGTTAAAATTTAAATGCTATTTTCAACACAAAATATTTATTTTACTTTATTTTTATTTTACTTTAATTTTATTGAGGAAAGTGAGTTATATTTGAAGCTTATGTGCTGTCTTGCAGCCACTAGAGGGAAGATATACAAGTCTTATTTTCATACTCTGATTTTTATATGCTAAAGTTATTTATATGTTGTGGCCTTAGCAGGTATTAGGTTAGTGCATGTTAAGCATTTTGTAACTATAAGGTTTGGTGACTATGTAAAAATTACTCAATCCATTGGAGTCATCAGTCTAGTAAGAAGATTTTTCATACTATATTCATATTACTTATTCAAAAATAAAACAAGAGTTTATGTTGCCCAGACATTGTGCTAGGTGATGAGTCCAGAGTTGAGTTAAAATAAGGCATTGATCTTGTCATCAAGGGATTTATGTTTAGTAGTCTTCCTGATTTACAGATTTGAAAATAAAGAAGCCAAAAATACATCATAGAGTTTTGCTCAATTGAGGAATAATCACCTCTAGTTGGGACATGGTTAATAAAGGATTTTAGATAAGTAAACTTCGAATTTTTGTCTTGAAGAAGGAAAGTGATAACTTTCCCAAGGTTTATATAAATGAATTTACCCATTCCCTTTGCTCTATAAAGAACCAATGGAAACTGAGAAAGGAATTCAATTTTTTTTTCTCAATAAAGAGAGGATATTAAGTGTTAGTACTAAGATAAAACCTAGGATCTTGTCACTAATTTTTCCCTGAGCTTTCTTAAAGTAGAGACAAAGTTAGTTAAATCAGTAGCTCTCAACTAGAAGTGATATTTTTCTCCAGGGACTTTTGATAGTGCCTGCAAGTATTTTTGGTTGTCCCAACTGGTGAAATTAGGGGATGCTATTCGTAGCTGATTGAGAACAAGGATACTGTTACATTCTACAAAGCACAGGAAGTCCTCCATATCAAACAACTATTCAGCTCAAAGTGTCAATAGGGCTGGGGTGGAAAATCTAGAACCAATGAGTCATTGTCCTTAAGGTCAAAATAGCAGTTACCTAAGAGAAGCTAAAATTGAAACTTGAGAAAAATTTTCTTGAGCCCAGTGTCCTGAATAATACCCTTAACCAGTGGTTCTCAACCTTCGTAATGCCACGACCCTTTAATACAGTTCCTCATGTTGTGGTGACCCCCAATCATAAAATTATTTTCGTTGCTACTTCATAACTGTAATTTTGCTACTGTTATGAATCATAATGTAAGTATCTTATATGCAGGATGTATTTTCATTGTTTGTGACCCACAGGTTGAGAACCGCTGCCTTAAACTGAAGGGAAAAGAAATAATGACTAGCTAATTACAATATTGCTCATAGTATTTAGCCAACAGACCATACTCCCCACAAACAGGGTAGTATTACACTAAAATAGTAGTATAAGTATAATAGAACAAAAATATAAATTTTCCTAAGCATAAGGTGCTTTAAAAATTGAGAAAGTAAATAAAATCGACGCATGAAATACTACTTATATAAAAGCTTCTGATGTTGAAGAAATAAAATAAAATTTTAACATTAACCTATTTTATATAGAAAATAAGTACCTATGGAGAAGGGAAGGGATAGGATGGAGGAAATGGGATAGAAGCTAGACTTTTATTGGAATCACATCTTAATTTTCATAATTATAAGACCACCATATTTTAATTTTTAAAATATAATTCTTGCCCTGACTGGTTTGGCTCAGTGGATAGAGCGTCAGCCTGTGGACTGAAGGGTCCCAGGTTCGATTCCGGTCAAGGGCATGTACCTTGGTTGCGGGCACATCCCCAGTAGGGGGTGTGCAGGAGGCAGCTGATCGATGTTTCTCTTTCATCGATGTTTCTAACTCTCTGTCCCTCTCCCTTCCTCTCTGTAACAAAAATCAATAAAATATATTTAAAAAATAAAATTCTTAATAACAATATAAATAAATAACTTAATTATTAAAATTAAAAAAAATGATATGCCACAACCAACATAACTTGATAGCTCAATTAAATTGATGGCTTAATCATCCAAGAGTAACTACAGGATATCACAAAAAATGTATACACACTTTTTTCTCATAGCCCAATTGATGTTTTTTTCTTTTCATATTTAACCCATTGGAAGTAATAATTATTCAAAATGTGTGTACATTTTTTTGGAGCACCCTGTATTTTGAAGAACTATAAGACATAATAATTTGAACAACCAAGGGGACATA